CTGCCTGTCTGTCTGTCTGTGTGCCTGCCTGTCTGTCTGTCTGCCTGTCTGCCTGCCTGTCTGTCTGCATGCCTGCCTGCCTGTCTGTCTGTCTGTCTGCCTGCCTGCCTGCTTGTCTGTCTGTCTGTTTGTCTCTCTGCCTGCCTTTCTGCCTGTCTGTCTGTATGCCTGCCTGTCTTTCTGCCTGCCTGTCTGCCAGCCTGCCTGTTTGTCTGTCTGCCTGTCTGACTGCCTGTCTGTCTGCCTGCCTGCTTGTCTGTCTTTCTGTCTGTCTGCCTGCTGGTCTGTTTGCCTGCCTGTCTATCTGTCTGTCTGTATGCCTGCCTGTCTTTCTGCCTGCCTGTCTGCCTGTCTGTCTGCCGGCCTGCCTGTTTGTCTGTCTGCCTGTCTGTCTTACTGCCTGTCTGTCTGCCTGCCTGCCTGCTTGTCTGTCTTTCTGTCTGTCTGCCTGCCGGTCTGTCTGCCTGCCTGTCTATCTGTCTTTCTGTCTGCCTGCCTGCCTGCATGCCTGCCTGCCTGCATGCCTGCCTGCCTGCCTGCCTGTCTGTCTGTCTGTCTGTCTGTCTGTCTGTCTGCCTGACTCTCTGCCTGCCTGCCCGTCTGTCTGTTCAACCAGTTTAACATAGTTTAGTTTTCAGGACTGGATAAAGATGATTTTTTGATCCTTTAGAGACAAATATCTGGTTTATCAACAGTTTGATCTGAAATTCACATTACAACATATGTGTCTGTGTGTGTGTGTGTGTGTGTGTGTGTGTGTGTGTGTGTGTGTGTGTGTGTGTGTGTGTGTGTGTACAGCCTGCAGGAGTCAGGGTCTCCTGGAGTGCAGGAACGGTCAGTGTGTTCCTTCAGCGTTTCGCTGTGATGGTGAAGATGACTGTAAAGACGGGAGTGATGAAGAGCACTGCAGCCGAGAGCAGAGTGAGAGATCACAACTGGTCACATCACACTAGGTCTCACCTGGTCTCAACAGGTCTCATCTGGTTTCACCAGGTCTCACCTGGTCTCACCAGGTCTCATCTGGTCTCACCTGGTCACACCTGGTCTCACCTGGTCTCACCTGGTTTCACCTGATGTCACCTGGTCTCACCTTGTCTCACCAGGTCTCATCTGGTCTCACCAGGTCTCACCAGGTCTCATCTGGTCTCACCTGGTCACACCTGGTCTCATCTGGTCTCACCTGGTCACACCTGGTCTCACCTGGTCTCACCTGGTCTCACCAGTTCTCACCTGGTTTCACCTGATGTCACCTGGTCTCACCTGGTCTCACCAGGTCTCACCTGGTCTCACCTGGTCTCACCTGGTCTGGTATCTGATCGTTTTAGAGTGAGTTTATTTAATGACAGCTGCTGTAAAACAACAAACACCTGCAGTTCCAGGTGTCCTCACCTGAGACCTTCACACTTGTCCCTCCAGATACAAAGTAAATAACCTGTAAATCCTGACGTGTACTCAGAGCAGGGAATGTTTTGTTCCTCACGGTTCTGTCCAGAACTTTGTTCTTCTAACGAACAGAACCTCAGGCAGCTGGACCTGCTGGAGAACTGCAGGTGTTTCACTTCTGCTCCGAGTTCTCTCAGGTTCACCTGAAGCTCAGAGCTCCTCAGATAAGAAGTGAACCTCCTTCAGAACCAGAGGTCCAGTTCTCTGTTCGGCTCAGTTCTACCTGTCTGTGTCCCTCAGCTCACGGCGGCTGTGTTCCTGGTCAGCCCGGCTGTTTTTCCACTTCCTGTCAGCCATCTTGTGGGGGTGGGAACGCCGCCTGCGACCCTCGGAACATCAGCTGCGGTGAGGCTCAGCATCCTGTCGTCATGGCAACAGACAGACATTTTTCTATAACACAATATAAATTTTTATCAAGTTATATAATTAGGTAAATTTAAAGAAAATAATAATAATTTCCAACATTGTATATTTATTACTAAAAATATTATAAAATATAAATATTTTCTGGGCAGCACGGTGGTGCAACTGGTAGAGCTGCTGCCTCTCAGCGAGCAGGTCCCTGGTTCAAACCCCGGTCCAGGGGCCTTTCTGGGTGGAGTTTGCATGTTCTCTCCGTGCATGCGTGGGTTTTCTCCGGGTACTCCGGTTTTCTCCCACAGACCAAAAACATGCATGTTAGGCTGATTGGTAACTCTAAACTGTTCCTAGGTGTGAGTGAGAGAGTGAATGGTTGTTTGTCTCGTTTGTCTCTATGTGTCCCTGTGATGGACTGGAGACCTGTCCAGGTGTCCCCCGCCCCTCGCACAGTGATTGCTGGACATGGGCACCAGCGACCCCCGTGACCCAAAATGGAATAAGCGGGTAAAGATGATGGATGGATGGATAAATATGTTCTTGCATTCGAGTGACTTTAATATCATTTGAAGATATGAATGGAGACACTGTTTGACAGCGGATTGTCCCTCAGGTCTCGTTTAATGAGTGAATGTCTCCCTCCTGTGGTGGGTTCTGGTCCTGGTCCTGGTTCTGAACCTGCTCTCTGGTTTCAGCGCGCTGCGAGCCCATCACCCTGGAGCTGTGCATGAACCTGCCCTACAACGTGACCACCTACCCCAACTACCTGGGCCACCTGTCCCAGAGAGAGAGCTCCGTGTCCTGGGAGTCCTCGCTGTTCCCTGCCCTGGTCCAGACCGGCTGCTACCAGTACCTCATGTTCTACGCGTGCACGCTGCTGGTACCGAAGTGTGACCCGCTCACGCTGCAGAGGGTGCCCCCGTGCAGGTCAGCGTCTTCTTCAGGTCTTGGTGCTTAGACAGAACGAGTGTCAGAAGGTTCTACAGGTAGGTCCACGGGTCCTGACAGGTCAACTGGACCCAACACCTCCTTTGTTCCTAAGCTTGGTCCTGGTGCTGGTCGGACTTCACCAGGATGGTGAGGTCCTGGATCCAAGTAGCGTCCTCTGTCCGGCTCAGCCTGAGAGCCGAGGGAGCTCAGAGCAGAGCTGCTCCTCATCAGAGGAGCTGAGGAGGTCAGGAGGCCTCCTGAACACCTCCCCCTGGAGGTTTGCACCTGGGCCTGACCCAGAACTCCATCTGGTCTGGAACACCCGAGGACCCTCCAGGAGGAGCTGGAGGGGACTCTAATGGAGTTGGCTCTTTGTCCACGTTTTGCTGTTGTTTGTTTTTTGACGTCTAAATAATCTGAAGGGAACTGTCTGTCTGTCTGTCTGTCTGTCTGTCTGTCCTCCACCTGTCTCCCTGCAGGTCGTTGTGTCGAAGCGCCAAGGAGAAATGTGAGTCAGTTCTGGGGATTGTGGGTCTGCAGTGGCCCGAGGACTCGGATTGCAGCCAGTTTCCAGAGGAGGGGGGGAACTCCAGCTGCCTGGTGCCGGAGGACGGCGTGGACGGTAGGCCTGTCTCTGATGATGATGAAGCTGGCTACACTCTCAGATGATGATGATGATGATGTGTTGCCATGGTAACAGAGTGCTCCCCCAGCCATTTCAAGTGTCAGTCGGGCCGCTGCGTCCTGGGGACCAAGCGCTGCGACGGACACCTGGACTGCGACGACCACAGCGACGAGGACAACTGCGGTGAGACGAAGACGTCTAAGGTTTGTTCCTGTTTTCTACCCGTCGTCATGGCAACTGACAGGCGTTTCTGTTGGTCAGGGTGTTCGGAGCGTGCTCTGTGGGAGTGTCCCGGCAGCAAGGTCTGCATTAAGCCCAGCATGATCTGTGACGGGTTCCCAGACTGCCCCCTGCTGGTGGACGAGGCCAACTGCTGTGAGTGTTCCACCAAGTCCTTCAAGTTTTTTATTGAAGACGTGCGAGGCAGCGGTCTGACAGGAAGTGTCGTGTGTGTGTCCCCAGCGGTGTGCCGAGACAACGAGCTGTCCTGCAACAACCACCAGTGTGTCCACCGGACCCTGTGGTGCGACGGACACAAGCACTGCTCCGACAGCTCGGACGAGTGGAACTGCGGTACCACAAACACCACGGCACACACTGAACGACAACGTCAGGGTTGTCTCGTGTTTCTCTACAAGACTGCGACGCCGCGCCACACGATTCATCCAAGACACGCCTTTAATGTGTCAAAGGACTTCTATTCTGAAAATACCTCGTTTGTTTGACTGACTAATTTTTCTACAGCTTAGACACCAGCAGCCATCTAGAAGTCTGACCAGCTTTCAGTAGGTGTTGGGGAGTCCTCTCAGCTCGTACCTAGGCCTCACCAAGTTTAGGTTCAAGATTGTCTAAAGAAGCTGGATTTTAGCTACTTCTGTATCAGCCTCCACATCTGTCTTGAATTGTGAACTAAAAGCTCAGGAGACTGTTAGCATGCACAGCTGGTTAAAGCAGGGGGACCACCAAGGGGGGGTCACTAGCCACCCCCCTGGCCCCCTTTGACCAGTTTTCTGCTCTTGAGTCTCGAGCTTTCATCAGTAGTGCCTCATAAATGTAAAAACTAAAAGTGTTTTTGAGTTAGGAGTAATAATATAAAAAAGAAAAAGTATTTAAAATAAAAATTTAACGTAAAAATCTAGTATTAAGGACAACTGGTCTAAAATCAGTGTCCACTATGAAGAGGCGTCTCTCAGGAGGTCTCAGGCAGCACATTTTATTTATAAGATAAGGTAGAACTTTAGTGATCCCGCAGGAACGCTCTCTGTTCAGGTCAGCGGACATGACGTCATCAGAAATATGAGCCGTAAAATAAACTGAGCTCCATCTGGCAGACAGGTCCTGAACTCTCACATTGCTAAGTTTCCAAATCACCATTTTACAAGAACAGTTCAGTATCAGAAAGAGCCAAACGTAGCATGATGCTATCAGAAACCAGAACACGACGAGCGTTTGTACGATGCAGGAAACAGCAGCCGAGAAAACATCTCTGAACTAGAGAAACACTGGCAAAGCCAGCCACAGCGCAGGCTATGCTAGCATCATGCTAATTTGAAGCCATGTTTTTTCAGAGTTTCTTCAGCGTGTGGTTCTGTGTCTCCAACCAGTGTCTCTATCTGACCGGTCCGGTCCGGTTCTGACCGTGCTCAAGACAGCGGCAGAGTATCAGGTCTGTGCAGACGAGTGGAACCAGGATCTGAGCAGGCTGACCTGCGCCCAGCTGGGTCTAGGGTAAGGTTAGTAACACACACATGACGCTCCACCTGACTCCGCCCACCTCTGAAGTAAAACACACACATCCGTCGCCTCAGGGTCCCCTCCTCTGTTTCCATGGTACCGGACCAGCCCGGAGTCCCTGGACGACGGCGGTGGTTACACGTTCATCCAGACTGGAACCTGAGGAATGGTTCTGCCCTGCAGGCCCGACTGGAGAAGAGAAGGTAACAGCTAGAGCCTCATTAGAACCATGAAGGTGGTGAACTCTGTAAAACTGTGTGAGAGCTGCTCTAAGTGGACCAGACAGCTCTGAGGACAGCCTGAGGGTTTGTTGGACCAAACTGTCCAACTGTTAAAAAAAAACAAAAAAACACCTGTTTTATAAATTTTATTTTACTGTTTCACTTCTGTTGAAGTTGGTGAACTAATCCCGGACGACCCCCCAAAAATGCTGCAGCGAGTGAAAATCATTGATGGCTCATCTGATAAATGTTCGACTATCAGTCTGGTTCTGACTGGATTTAGAAAACTTTTAGTCTGAAAAGAAATGTCTGATGACAGCAGAGGTGTCGGATCTACCCTCATCCTGATAAACATCTGCTTCTTACAGCTGGAGTTACCTCAAACCTTAGGTGTTCATGCAGAACATCCAGCTTCCATCATGATGTAGATTCACTGATCAGACTTCTCCTGTCTCTGTTTCTCTGTTTGTCTCTGTGTCTCTCTGTGTCTATGTTTGTCTCTCTGTGTCTCTGTCTGTCTTTGTGTCTCTCTCTCTCTCTGTGTCTCTGTGTGTGTTTCTCTCTGTGTCCCTCTCGGTATCTCTGTGTATGCTTCTGTTGATGTCTCTCTTGGTGTCTCTGTCTCTCTGTGTGCGTCCCTCTTGGTGTCTCTGTTTGTCTCTGTGTCTCTGTCTCTGTGTCTCTGTTTGTGTCTCTGTGTGTGTTTCTGTTGGTGTCTCTCGCTGTGGCCCTCTCGATATCTCTGTGTGCTACTGTTGATGTCTCTCTTGGTGTCTCTGTCTATTTCTGTGTCCCTCTTGGTGTCTCTGTGTCCCCCTTGGTGTCTCTGTGTGTCTCTGCGTGTGTCCTGCAGTCATGCGTGTCATTCCAGACGCAGAGTTTCCGTTCTTTGTTCCAGAGAAGGTAAACAGATGTTTTTTATCTGCTCTCAGATCATCTGATGGACAAACGTTTTTTTTTGTTAACAAATGTCCAAAATTCTGGTCCTGTCTCCATCGTGAACCCTGTCCTGTCTTCAGAGTGTGGTCTTCGTCCAGCTCTGAGTCTCCGTCCTCACAGGAAGAAACGGATCCTGGGGGGTCGGGTGTCACGCCGGGGGGCGTGGCCTTGGCAGTGCTCGCTGCAGAGCGGTCAGAGCGGACATGTCTGCGGCTGCGTCCTCATCGCCCGCAGGTGGGCTCTGACCGTCGCCCACTGCTTTGAGGGGTGAGAGGGGGCGGGGCTTCAAGATGGCAGGTGGAGGCTGCACTGATCTGAGATTAGTAAGACTGATGGGGTTGTTGTGTTTGTGTGTCTGTTTGTGTGTGTATGTTGTTGTTTGTGTGTGTATGTTGTGTTTGTGTGTCTGTTCTTGCGTTTGTGTGTGTATGTTGTTGTTTGT